GTAGAGGGAAAGTCAACCCAAATTTTTGGAAGTGGTTTTTTCAATTGTTCTCTTCTCTCTGGCTGTTCTGTTACCCTGGTTATAATCATCAGCTGGTAGAGGAAATAAAAAATTTAAATTTGTTTTGTTGTTATTAGGGCTTGGAAGAAAACTAAGATTGTGATTGTATTCCTACACTTTTTGAGATGACTGTAAACAAAAATTTAAATTAGAGAAGGTGTCATATTGAAAGACAATTGTATGGTCAAGGCAGGCATTGCCCTGCTAGCTCGCAAGGTTAGGAATACCTTACTGACTGAACAATTAAGCTAACTCCAAATTCTTTCTTACTCATTTGGTCAGTGTTTTGGCATTTATTTCCTTCCCAAGCTAGATTAGCATATGGAAACCTGGGCTCCAACTAGTGTCAGGCCTGTATTACCTAGCCATAAACAGCTCCTGTTTTTCAAGTTTGTTCTGTTGGCTCCATTGTAACCTAACACAGTTTCTATTTTAGGATGTCTGGTGGTCGGTTATCTTTCAGTTGCTTACCCATCAGGCAGGAACAGGATCCACCCTAGACACTTGAGTCATTTCCTTTCACCCAATCATAATAGTAAACATCATTATAATTTCTATGTACGAATACATCATCTTCACTTACTTGAGGCCTCCCTCCCTCTGCCACTTTTACCTCCCAGAGTTCTCCCATATTACAGATCTCCCTTCTTCCCTTCCAAAATTCCCCTGGTCTCTTTACCTCGTTCCTCTTCTCTGTTCTCAGTCCTTCACCTCCATTTCTAAAGGGAATTTCTTTTGTATGTTCCTGGCTATTTCCTGTCATTGTGTGTCCAGACCACTGGTCTCCAAACTTGTCGTCACATATCCCTCTAAGTAAAATGTTTTGGAACATGCATCTTTGTGATGTATGTAATAAATAATATACATGAACTGATGTTATATGCAAACATATGCATGCATATTACATGTACACATGTAATGTTAACATCAGTTACATTATGTACATACCTTAGGTACATTACAAACAGGCACAGGATAGAATTTAAGGAAGGATGAACTAAAATAAATGGAAATGAAAATTCAGATTATTTTCTGTTTTCTTCCTACATCCTTACAGTACTGTCTTGCATATCTACCCCACATTAAGGTATTGATTTTACATAAGCATGCACTTGGAAAAAGTGTTAATTTTTAACAGCTCTAGTCTGATTATAGTAGTTATAATGCAATGATAACAAATTTAGAATAGACACAATCTCTACTTGTACATGTGATTAAAGCTGGGCATGTTCCATCTCTTAATACAAGTGTGGGCTTGGAAGCCAGGCATGGCCCTGTTTGATGCTTTGATGCAGACTTGGCTGGAGGAACTTCAAACAATTATGAGAACTTAGCTTCACTTGAAATTAATATCTTTGCATTTTTGAAACACTGTTATAATTTGCCCCTGTAGGTGGCACATGGTAAAAAAGTGTGCAGAATATGTAAGAACTCTCAAATGAAAGACATATTTAAATACCAAATAATAGCAGTAACTGTATGATCCTGGAAGTGCAGCTCTGCACACAGCATGATCTGTGGTTTGTAAAACACTATTTTAAACCAGTAGAAACTGAAAATTTCTATTGTAGCTGATTTTGGCATGTTTATTTTCACAAGTAATTTTCATGTATTTCTTTTCTGATAAATACTACATGTTCATTATAGAAAACTTGTAACATTGAAAAGGATTAAAAAAAAGAACACAGTTACTTATTGCCTTATAACTCAGAGATAACTGTGGTTACTTTTTAGTGTTTTCTTTTTTCTTCTTACATAGTTAAAATGTATCTATTAAGCATGTAGCCTGAACTGTATAAACTATTTCATATCTTACTTTCTTCAGTCAACGTTATGTTGTCAGCATTTTCCCATAACATTCCAAATTCTTGCAATTTATAATTTTAATGACCATATACCATACCGTCATATAGATGGACTACAATTTATTTAATAATTTCCTTATTGCTGGGCATTTGGATTGGGGAAAATTAGAAGTAGTTATGAGTAACGTTTCCATATTTATCTGTATACATAAGGCTTTGTCCCCATTCCTGATTATTTTCTCAGGATAAATTCTTAGATATGGAATTGCCAGGTCTTTTGAAAGGCTTTTAGTAACTATTGCCAAATTATCTTGCAGGAGGGTTGTAAAAGTCAAGCTGACTATTAAATGGGATAGTATGTGCAAATCACTTGGCATATTCTGGGCTTTCAGTTAATGGCAGATACTATTATGAAGCCATTCAAATGTGATTCCAAGGGTTTTGTGACCAGTTTATGGTCCCTAATGCTAGAAATGTGTTGTTGTGATCCCTGTTGATTGATGGTGCTCATTTAGAGAGCAGAAGACATTTGACATCATGCTTAAAGGTCCTGGAGTTGTATTAATTAATCCATTGTTAACGTTGGTTAAGATTAGAACGGAGTCTCTAGGGTGTCTCTTCTGGAGTAAGTACTGGCAGTTGGGCCAGTTTGGCAGATTAAGACTTGAGCTTATAAATTTTCCTGCTGTGTGTTCTTACAACTGGCAAATCTTGAATTTTGAGCCTTATAACCCTTGAACTGGGTATTATGAATGGTGGAAAGCGTCACCAATGCCATTACCAAAACTCATTTTGTTTTGACTGGTAGAAATTTGAAACCATTAGTCTACTAGATACTCATATTAGGTTAGAAAATCATTCGGTTTTATTCTGGGACTTTAGCTGCAGAATAATTGTCTTTCTTAGACTCTTAAGCCTATTTTAACAACAACCGAAAAAGCAGTTCTTTCGGGCAGTTATAATTTCAGCTAAGCTATTGTTTATGTCATCTGTGTCCTTGGACTGGAAGGTATACACCTGCTGCTTCGTCAGCGTGGAGAATGCTTGCTCTTTACCCACATTCTCCAGTCTAGTATTTTTAGGAGATTGGGACAGATTCATGTACACATACATGTACATGTTAGATGATAGTGATTACCTGAATCTTACATTTTTATTGTTAAATCTGGCTGCCTTCTTTTTAAAAAATTATATTGTCTGCTGAGGAAAAACTGTTCAGCTGCACAGTGATGGAATGATGTATGGCATCTGTAAAATGGGAATCCAAAGAGTGAGGAGTTGGTAGTGCTCCTTTCTTCAAGTTCAGGGCAGGGGGTACCTTGAGCAGTGGACAGTGTTTTGATCCCCCTGGTGAATAGAGGCCCTTGGTGGTGATGGATGGCTTAATAGCTCTTGTAAAGGTCACCCAGCTAATTTACTAGACCACTTTGAACTTACGTTTGGGAAAGTTGTGTGTGGTACTAGGCAAGAGTGTGGGCTTTAAAAGTCAGGCAGATGAAGTTCCAATCCCAGTTCTCTTCTTAATGTACATAAAATGGGACAGTTAATGTCTACTTCATAAGATGATTATGAGACTGAAATGAGAGGGTATGAGGAGTAAGTGTGAGAACCTAGTAAGAGGCTGGTTCTTAGTAGGAGCTCACTCAGTGGTAGCCATCTGCTATTTTGATACGGCTTTCCATGTAGCATTTGCAGCCTGAAGATAATTCAGTCATCTTGTGTATGGGAGCATTCCAGTTCTCCTGAGTTTGGCTTCTTTTTGTTGTTGTTGCAGATAAATAAGTGTTCTCTTGTAAGTATAGTTAGAATATGTTGACTGTGTGTGTCTCTAAATATACTGATAGTTGAATTTCTGACCCTGAAAAATTAAGGAGTTGGCCTTTAATCACTGGTACCTTCATTACAGCGGCTTCACAAAGTTGATGTCGCCTTGTAGAAGCTGCCTGCGTGGCATTTCTCCTGGCATGCTTCTTTCTTGCTGCACACCTCAACCCGTGACACTTGTCACTTCAGGTTTGTGGTGGTTTTTCAAGCAATTCCACAAGTTATACGACTCTCAGATTGTGTTGCAAGCCGTCTATGTTGATTCTGGTGTACTTTTACTATGAGGTACATGCTTACATAAGGGAGTGTGAATGAGTTGAAAGAGTAACAGTTACAACCTATCGTAACATGTTTTAACTTTGCAGGTGAGAGAAAAGAGCTAACAATACTTTTTCTAGACCTGTGTAGAACATATAATTCGACCTACAAACTCTGCAAATCAGTTTTCTGCTCATCCCCGGAAGTATTTGATTTTGGAAGGAACTAAATTCAGTTTCTGCTTCTATTTCTCTTGTCAGTGCAAATTCTGAGAGCAGATATGACAGGTCGGGTTTGTTTTTTTTTTTTTTCCAGTTTAAATCCTGTATTTTTCAGCTTCTATGTCAGGCAGTCTTACTATGAGAGCTATGAGGACACGTGAGGAAACATTGTAAATGGTAGTGTAGCAGAAAGACCTGGAAGGGACAACTGTAATGATTATCTAGCCTCAGCTGCTTGCTTGACGAATGGGAAATGTGAAGCCTGGACCAGCTGAGTGGCGGTGGGCCCTGTCAGCCAGGACAGAACTCAAGTTCCTCAGTTTGCCAGTAGCCTGGTGAAAAGTGAATCGTTAGGAAGAAAACCTTTCAAAGCCTGAGCTTATTCTGAATGGCTCTCTACGGAGTAGGTCATAATGCAGGGTAGGTTTTATGTTCTTTTGTGGTAAAGTCATAGTATGCCCTTTGTGTGTCCCTTTTCTTTCTGCAGCAGTGTTTCATCTATTTTTATGCTGTCAGGCTTTCTTCAGTGTTTGATTGCACATCGTAAAAATATTTTTATTAGTAGTACATCTCCAGTCCTTTTTTCCCATCTGTGTTTAATTGTTCTTTTTTTAAATTTCTTCCACTTTTATCTTCCACTCATAAAAAGTGATAAAAATTTGAGGGTGGTAAAAGGAAGAACACAGGAAGAGTGGTATTTGGGATTCTTTTAGACTTGCCCGTGTGCAAGATTATTTAAAAGTGGACATATGGGGATGTCAGGTACTGCAGGGTGACTAAAGTTAACACTGTGTCATGTATTTGAAAGTTACTAAGAGTAGCTCTTAAAAGTTCTTATCACAGGAATAAAATTTGTAACTATGTGAGGTGATGGGTGTTAATGAAACATTGTGGTAGTTATTTCACAATATATACATATTTCAAATCATCATGTTGTACAACTAAAACTAATACAGTGTTACATATCAATTGTATCCCACTAAAAACTCATGGGAGGGGGAGTGAACATACTATTCAATAGTATTGTAATTAGCATTCCCAGAGTAAATCACTCCCATTTCCCTCCCTGTATTAAATCTAAAATTATCTACTTCTATAGATTCATTTGTCCTTTAATTCAGCAAATACTTGGGCATTCCTTATGTACCAGGCCCTGTTCTAGGCATTCGGGATATGGTGAAAAAAGTCTTTGCTCTTGGAGTAGCTTACATTTTAGTGGGCAGAGAGACCCCACTAAAGGAATAAATAATATGGGAGGTGAGGGTACATTTTAAATAGGGTCATTAGAGAAGGGCTCTGAAAAGGTAGTGTTTGATCAGAGACCTTAAAAAAATAACCTGGGAAAGAACATTCATCAGGAAGAGAGAACTACAAGTGAAACAGCCTTGAGGGGGAAGTTGCTGCTGTCATTTGAGAAACAGCAATCACAGTGTGAGAAGAGGTCATAGGGGAACCAGGAGCTAAATTGTTTGGGCCTAGTAGTTGATGGGGAGGATTTTGGCTTTTGTTCTAAATGTGATGGGAAACCATTGAAGGATTTTGAACAGGGAGTGGCATTCTCTAATGAAGAGGAAAACTAGTCCTTCTGTTCTGTGTCATGTTACTTCTCAGTGCTTTATAGTGTTAAATCTTTTCTGATTGTAGATTGTCTATGCTGAAAGACCTCTCACAGATAACCACAGATCACTGGCTTCTTACGGCTTAAAGGATGGCGATGTTGTGATTTTACGACAGAAGGAGAATGCAGACCCTCGACCTTCGGTGCAGTTCCCAAGTAAGACGTCTCATGATGATTTGCAATCCTGACAAGCATTAGTAGATAGCATAGTTCAGAGTTTTGGATTCGCCTTGGATTCAGACTGCCAGGGTACAGATCCTGACTCTGCCGCTTGCTTGCTATGTAACCTTGGACAAGTTAACTTCTCTCAGTCCATTTCCTCATCTGTAAGATGGGTCTATAATTAACCCCAACCCCTGGAGTTGATGGGAGAATAATGAATATAAAACCTTCAGCACATAGCGAGCCCTCAATAAATTTTAGCCTTTGTTCTTGTTATCAGTGATGATTTTATCCTTGGGAAGGACTTGAGAGGCTACGTATGCCAGTGATTCCTGGCTGACTTTTGCTACTTTGTGTCTGGTATTCAGTCATAGGCCTTTGCCAAGCTTTCTACAGTCAGCCAGGCACTTGCACCCCATTTCAAGTCACCTCATGACTCTGTTGTAGGGGAAGAGATAACTCTTGACAATGTATTTTTGTTGTTTTTTAGGGGGGTAAATTAGGGGGTTTTTTTGTTTGTTTATAGAGGAGATACTGGGGATTGAACCCAGGACCTTGTGCATGCTAAGCATGCACTCTACCACTTGCCCCCCTACCTCTTGACAATTTCTTATTATTAACAGATGAAGCTCTGATTTTAAATAATTTCTTCGAAGTTGAAGGCAGGGGAATTAAAACTTGGTGCTTGTTTCATTACTGAGCCTTATGAACGTTGAACAGCTGGACCACCAGATTCTGATTTTCCCCCACTAGCTCTGTTAATCATGTAAAAAGGAACTGTTATTTATCTTAGATGTTCCATCCAGGATAGGCTTTTATAATCTAGAATCTGCATTGGGAGTTAGGAGGTTTCTGTGTCCCTGAAATAGTGTGCAGAACTGTGTGGGTGTGGGCATGTGTGCATTTGATGGGGAGAGGGTCCATAGCTTGCTTCAGATCCTCAGAGGAGTTTATGATCTACAAAAGTTAATAAGCTAGAAGTTTATAATGTGGAACTACTTGATGAAATGTGTTAGTTTTTTTCCCATTCCCTACCATGTTCTGATTGATTTCTTTAAACAGTGTTTAGCCTCTAGGTCACTTGGTTTGAAAGTTTATATAACAGCTGATAGGTGTCTGGGTGATGACAGACTCCAGTTTAGGACACAGTGCTTCTATTCAGCATGAAACTGGAACTATAAGGGAATATCAGGCACTGTTCCTTTCAGATCTGGGTTTCAGTTTTTCCTTGGGGCTACTGTTAAACTCTAGAAAGAGGAGTGGTTCAAGTACGTCAATTAATAGAAACCAAATCTTCCTTTGGTTAATTTGGTAAAATTGTTAGTTCTGGAAATTCACTTTTCTTTCCTCCTGTGCTGTGTCAGAGGGACAAGAGAGCCAGCCAGTAGGTTGGGGAAGGGAGAGGATCTGGTCTATAAGGTAAACAAGGTTTTCAAAATTATTCTGAAGTGAATGGACTCTCAAGATAAGTGTAATAGGGTTGAAGATAAAATTTCTCAACCCACAAGGAAGGCCCACCCATGTGTGTGTTGCTAGTTGACCTAGATTAACTACCTCGTAAAGATCATCTTAAGCACTTCACATTTCATTGGTTTGGAAGTTCATGTGCTTGTACACATGTTCACACACACATACACATGCTTGACAGCTGAGGTCTGTTTGAAGAAAGTGCCTAGTTCAACCCATGCTAAGAGACAGAAACTTTACACCTGAGTTTAAACATTCCATTTTTTCTGCTTAGGGTCCAGAAGTCTTCAGGATAGCACTAGACGTGGGACAGGTGCAACCATCAGATATATTTTGGGGTTGAAGAAATGTGGATTCATTCATTCACTCCTAGCCCATCATTCTACCTATACTTAGGATTTTATGGGGGGTTTTTTTCCCCCTTTTTTAGAATACAACCCTTTTTCAATAACAGCTTTTATCGAGATATCATTCGTACTATATAGTTCACTCATTTAAAGGGTACAGTTCAATAATTTTTAGTATATTCAGAGTTGTGCAGTGTATGATCAACTTTAGCACATTTTTTCATCATCTTTTAACAAAAAGTCTCTACCCATTAACAGTCATTCCCCATTTGCCCCAACACTGCCTAGCCCTGGGCAGCCATCAGTCTACTTTCTATCTCTGTATTTTCCTATTCTGGACGTTTCATATGAATGGAATCATACAATATCTGGGTCCCTTGAGTAAAGCTCCCTTTTATTTTCCTTTCATTTTAGTAAGGTCTGCTCACCCTGGAGTATGGAACCTGGGAGTGTGGCCTCTGAACCTGTTAAATCTTTCGCTGTTCTCAGCGCTGAGAACCTGTACAGTTTCCTTTTCTTTTTTTCACTCCTGTGAAGTAATTGCACCCACTGGCTCCCCAGGATGTGAGAGGAGTTAGCAGTGATGCACAGATGAAAGTGTAAATTCAAAGAACTAATATGTGTGGCACAGACTTGTAGAAGTTAACATCTAACATTTATGCTGTTCAGTTGATATGTATCGTATTTTTTACCCAAGGTGTCAGGACTCTTTGACACATATATCAGAGCAGACTAGGATTTTTCTTAGGAACCACATCCGTATTTGTGTGGTTATATTTGAGACTGGCTTTAACTTTTTAAAGACATAAATAAGTAAAAACTTACTATCCTGGGATATTTCTTATAAGCCAGAAATTTGGGATTATTACCATTGTCTGCCTACCCCTACTTCCACCCTCCACCCCCTATGACCCTATTTTTCTATTCTCTCCTACCTATTCACTCTCAGACTGCAGACTTTATATTCAAACTCAGCATGAGAAAGAAGGGAGAGGGCATTCAGAATGTCTACAATTACCATCTACTACTATTACGTACCACGTATGCATAAACCTGCCATTTCTTTTAGATACTTGTTTTCATGGAGTCATTTAAAGTAAACTTTAAATCGATTTTCCCCAACAGACTTACCCCGAATAGATTTCCGTAGTATAGCTGTGCCTGGCACTTCAAGCTCCCGGCAGCGCCAGCCACCAGGTGTACAGCAGTCCCGCTCATCTCCTGGAGAAATAGCTTCATCTCCTCAGGGCTTGGACAATCCAGCCTTGCTCCGAGACATGTTGCTGGCCAACCCCCACGAGCTGTCCTTGCTGAAGGAACGCAATCCACCCCTGGCAGATGCTCTGCTCAGTGGAGATCTCGGTAAGCTTAGAAAATTGGAAGGCTGTCAAGCTGACCTGAGATGGATAGTTGTGCTACAGCAGATGTGGAGAAAATCAAGCAACTGGTGTGTTCAGCCCACTGTATCACATGCTTTATTACCATATTAGTTCGTCTGAGAGGTAAATTAGTGCTGATGTCAAAGGCTGAATTAATTGGCAGTAGTGGCAGAATTTTAGGACCATGTAGTGTGCTGAAATCCATCTCAGCCAGACCCCTTTGCTTCTCTTTTTTCTAATTTTAGCAGCACATAACCCAGGTACTGATCTTTTTTTAATTAAAGTATAATTGGTTTACAGTATTGCATTAGTTTCAGGTGTACAGCATAGTGATTCAGGTTTTTTGTTTGTGTTTTCGTGGGCTTTTTTTTTCCCCCGGTAATACTTGTGATAACCAGGTACTGCTATTTTAACCTGTTTAGTTAAACTCTCAACTAAGAGAGTACCAATTAACCAGCTGATGCCAACTGAAATGAGTTTAGTTCAGGAAAACAAGTAAAATGCCATGCCTGTATGGCAAAATGCAACCCCTCTATTCTTGCTTTAATGCTGGTGGGGTTGGATCTGTATTTGAGCTATTCTTGTACTTAACATTTATTTTTAGTCTTCTTTATGAACAAAGTTTTCTCTGTAGATTTCTCTGATTTTACTCCTAAGTTTATGAAACCTTACTGAATAAATTTTAAATCATAACAGATACTTAATAACTCATTCCTCAATAACCGTTATTAAAATTTAGGTAATATTTACCTACATAGATATACTTGGATTTTTTTTCCTTTTTTTTCCCAGAAGAGCTAAAAGAGTTTAAGAATATAGTTTGTTGGATTGTTGGGTTTTGACAAACTCATGTAACCACCACCCCAATCAAAATATAGAGCATTTCTCTCACTCCAGAAAGTTCTGTTATGTTCTCTTCTAGTCAGTTTCCTCTCCTTGGAGGCAACCACTATTCTGATACTTATTACAGGTTATTTTTGCCTGTTTTTGACCTTCATGTAAATGGAATCGTATAGTATGTCTTCTCTTGGGTGAGGCTTCTTCCACTCAGTTTTTTTAGGTTCATCTGTTATGTGTAGCAGTAGTTGATGGGACAATTATCTTGGTTTCTTTAATTTCTTACGCAGCGTATCTAATTGCCAAAGACCATGATGATGGCACTTCTATGTTTATGCATTTGAATGTACTCACATTTAAGAAATAGCAAAATAAAGGTAGTTCTTGTAACATGCATCTTGTAGCAAGCAATGTTTTCTCCTTACTAATTTTCCTGCTTGGTATCTATCAGGTAATATATAGATAGGCTAACAGTAGTTTGCTAATAATTTATCCACTTTAAGGCAGAGTGTTGTAAAGGAAGTGAAATTAGAAGAGGAAAAGGGGGATAGTAGCGTTCTGTTTTATGTCTAGGTAATAGGATAATATGGGCAATGGGGAGGGGTCATTTACCCACCACACGATAGTCATCCCCCACTGATTTACACTGAAAAGTCATCATTTCTGAGAAGATATTTGCAAATACTTTATTTCCTTACACTAAATTTAGGTGAAGAAGTAGTCTTGCCTCAGAAAGTAAATCTAATTGCTCATTTAAAATGATTTTTAGGCATCCTTTTGCATCTCTCACAGTTATATTTTGAGAAATTGTTTGCTGTGGAAGAGTACTAATAAAGAGTGAGAATATAGTGGTTCTTAAGATTTTCCCCCCTTGTTCTTGTAGAGAAATTTTCTAGGGTCCTAGTGGAGCAGCAGCAGGACCGAGCCCGGAGAGAGCAGGAAAGGATTCGTCTCTTTTCTGCTGACCCTTTTGATCTTGAAGCTCAGGCAAAGATAGAAGAAGATATAAGGTAATGACCCCTTGGCCCAAAGAGCAAGATTTAGGGAGTCCAGATCTCCCAAACTTCAGGAGACCTTGTGTCAGTTGGGCATCTGCTTTGCGGTAGATTCCTTATTTTGAATCTGAGATAGTAGCTTCAGTCTTCTGGTTTCTTACCTCCTCTTCCATTTTTCCTTGCATTTTGATTTAACATTGCAAAGTGATTAACATTCACTTAATGACTTTCTCTTCTAAAATTTTCATATAGACTCCCTGACTAGCCCCAGACAGGTCCCCCCCCCCCAAGCACATTATTAAGGCAACTACAGGTAGATGACCCCAGGACTGGGCAGAAGCCCCTAACCTGGGGACACTACTAGGCTGCTACACAGGCTGATTGGGCTCTCTCTCCTTAGACATAATGGGTGAGCTCTGATTAAATCCAGGGCTTAGACATGATTGGATTAGAGATAACTGTACAAACAGGAACCTTATAGTCTGTTTTCCTTCCACAGTTCTTGTGCTGGCCTCAGCAGATAAACTAACTGCAGGACTTGTTTCTAGCTCCAGATTCTCTAATGCTGTGGTTCTCACCTGAGGCAGCATTAAAGTCATATGAGAAGCCTTTAAAAATGCAGGTGCTTAGGCTTTACTCCCAAATCTCATGAATCATAATCTTAAGAGGTGGGGCCTAAGCAGGTACAAGGTGGCTAATGCCATCCTTGGTCCCATTACTAGCCACAAGCAAGATGCTGTTCAGTCAGTCCCTTTGAAGAAAAGAATGACTGCTTTCCCCCATCCCAGATTCAGTTTTTGTTGCCAATTGTGAAGGCCTTAGTGTAACTAAGAAGAAAATAACTGACAATAACTGCTTGTCACTGTCTCTGGTTACTTAAATGAGGCCTAACGTGGTTGTTACATTACACTGTCAACTTGGATGTCAGATAAAGGTTTTCCTGTTTCTCTGACTATTATATTTGAAATCAAGAAGTGTAAATATGCCAGAATCAATTGACAGCCCTAAGCCATCCACTTGTGTTCTTGTTGAATAAATGTTTCCACTGATTGTATCTGATACTAACAACTATCTTTGAGAAACATCTCAGTAGTTAAAGCTGTGCAGAGAAATAGAAAGATATTTGTGTTTTCTCGACTAGACCACATTGCAGCGGTAAAGGAACCTGACATAACTCACGAACAGTTGCATTCAAGCCAGGAAGCAGGAGGGGTGGGAGGGAGAGTGGGGATGCATCATAGCCAAACCGTGACTCCGAGCTATTAGAAGAGAAGTGAAATGAGGCATATCCATAGGGCTCATGTTTCTTCCCAGGGCTGAGGTAAAGGAACTGGGGCAATGCATGTATTCTTTTATGGGACAAAACCTTGTGCCTGTAACATGAAACAGAGTCCAGGATAGCCAGAGTAACTGGTATTATCTCAGAAGATTTTCTGCTGAAACTTACCTTGGTTGGAGTCAGTGCACGGTCAGGAGTGCACAACTAATTTTAGGTTATTTTCAAATTTGGTAGTGTGGCCTAGGAGAAAGGCTGTGTAATTATATAAAACACCTTGGAAGTTTTATTTGGTATGCTACACCAGTGATCACATAGGGTACATGTACACTGAGGTGTATAATAGCTTGCTTGCATATTTGCCTGACTAAACTAAACGAGTATGTCTTTGACTTTCTGAGAAGTTTAACATTTTATTACAGAATGGCTGATAAAACCCTCAATACAGCTGAGCCAGAGTATTATTACAAAAGGGACAGTAACTACAGTTTAGAATAGAGGTCAGGAAACTTCCTCCATAAAGAGCCAGATAGTAAATGTTTTAGGCTTTGCGGACCGTGCAGCCCCTGTTGCTCGCACTCAGTTCTGCCAGCGCAGAACAAAAGCAGCTGTAGATAGTGCGACAGCATGTAGATGAGTGGTGTGGCCGTGTTCCTGTGAACAGACAGTGAGCCGTAATTGGCCAACCCCTGGTTTACAGTTGGAACTGACCCCGCCTTGGGTCCTGTTCTGTTATTGTCTCGGTCTTCAGGAGAGTTGCCCTAGTTTCCATCAATGTTTGTAGTGTTTGATGATGTTTTTAAAAGGAGGTTGGGAATGAAGGTATCAGATGTTGGAGTGAGCTGGAACTCTTACGTGCTCTTCTCATGTAAGAACTAGAATACATTCAGTTTTTGAAGATACGTTTTGATGGACCAGGTGAACCATGATAACATGACTGTGTGTGTAGTTTTCTAAGTGATAGCCAGGTGAGTATTCTTCGAGCTTCTGCTCTTATCTTAGCATTTTGTACTGGATGCTTTATACCTCTCAGTAATCCTGTGATAAAAATTGCTGTCCTCATTTTACAGATTAGGAACCCAAACTTGGAAAATAAGCAGCAGATGCAACACAAGCAGTTGAAACATCTGTTTTATTATGTTTTCAAACTATTTTTAATGCACTGGACATAGGAAATGTACCCAGATACCCAGTATAAATTATACACAGTTTAAATTGGAACATTGACGAAATTCTAACGTTTGTAGGATAAAAAGGATTGTGACCCTCACTGTCCAGAAGTTTATTTACCTATTTCTGAGCTTGTAAAGGGAACATAATCGTTTTTACATGAAGGTAATTTGTATCCTTAGATGTTCTGCCAATGTATATCTCACTTCCTCCTGCTAAATCACATATTTCAGGATAGAGCACCAATTTCCATTTCCATGACTCAGCTGCTGTAGTTGGAACAAAAGATATGTGCAGATCTGTTTTTAATGTTGTGACTTAGAAACAGATTTCTCTTCATGGAAATAATGCTTTTAGTGTACCTGGTTTTGGTTTGTTACAGGCAACAGAACATTGAGGAAAACATGACAATAGCTATGGAAGAGGCTCCAGAAAGTTTTGGCCAAGTAGTGATGCTTTATATTAACTGCAAAGTGAATGGACATCCTGTGAAAGCCTTTGTTGACTCAGGTGATGTCTCCATCTTTTGTGTCTTTGTCTCTACATCCAATGTTGTGACCTGATCCAGGGAGAAGGGGAGACTCTGGTGCCTGTTAAAGATGTCAGTAGCCCTTTGAATGGCGAACTAACAACCAGAGGTTATTGTTTTCACTTGTCAATCTTCTGTTTATAATTGATTTTTTTCCTTTAATTATTTCTTAACCAGTTTTCTATTTTGCAGTGTCTTCTTTCTCTTCCTACCTCCCCTTACTTGGTTGGCATCCTGAATTTCTAGGATACCTCTGTACGAAATTAGGGAGTAAATGGGTTTAGAATAAGGAGCTGTAAGAAGGGAGTGTGCAGAGGCCAAACAAATACTTCAGCCTGGTGTGTGTGCCAGTACTTTACCACAAGCCGTGAGTGTATAAGAATGTTCTTGCCCTTAACGAATTTAACAGCCACGTCAGGAGGCAGGGAGTTTCCCACTTGAGGACTCAGATAATGTCTGTACTAACTGGCACCTTTTCTCTCAGTAACAGCTCTTTGACTTTTTAGTAAGGCAGCACAGAGCAGCACCATGTGAGTGTAACTGCGTGGCCTCGTGGGTCTCTCCCTTGAGGCTGTAAGATAGAATGTGTTCCTAGAGTAGTAGAAGCCCCTGCTCAAGTCACTTTTCCTCCATTTGTTCAGCCACAAATACTGAAGCACATGCTCAGTTTCAACTGTTAAGAGTTACATCTTGATATGTATACATTCCTGGGAGAAGTAAATCTTCTGATTATTCAGTTTTTTGAGTGTCTGTTGAGTGCTGTGTGCAGAGTCTTGCACTGAGTGCCTGGGGGGTGATACTGGAGCTTCATAGGGCTCCAATGAGTGAGCGAGGCAAATACATGTGACCCTGATATAACAGTCAGCATTTAATGAGCACGTACTATGTGCCAAGCACCGTGCTAGGTGCTTAATATATATCATCTTAGTCAGTTTTATTTAATCCTCAGAATATCCCTATGAGCTCTTTTGTATTATCCCTGTTTTACAGGTGAGGAAACTTAGAGGGGTGAAGTCACTCTTCCAGGTGTACAAAGTTCATGACTTTGGATGCAGCCCCAGATCTGCTTGATGCCAGAACTCTTAACCACTATGTAAAAATCAGATGCATGTTGGATGAACATTAAGATCACATTCTTACTGTGACTGCGGTGTTCAAGTGTGGCTTCCTAAAAAAAGAGGGCATTTGAACTGAGCTTGGGTAGAGGACTGCAGCCGTGAGCTGAGGCTTGAGATAAGGCAGGAAAGTGGTGAAAGGGACCCTTCTCACCATGGGGTTGCTTACTTTCCATAAGTAACTAGCTTTTGTGGAGCAGGGTGGGGACGGAGGAGGAAAAGAGAGAAGTGCCTTCCCAAATTCCCTTGTCCTTCATTATTTCTGGGCCTTCTTGACTCTAACCTTCCTCAGATGTCAGGAGCTGTCAGTGCCCGTAAAGTGTAAGTTATTTGTGAGCAATATGAATAGGAAGTGTTGAAATTGAATGAGAGGAGAGATCACTGGGAAAGAACAGTCGTTGGGGAGGAGGTGAGTCTTGGGCTGGGCCTTAAAGCGTAAGTGAAATTCAAAGAAAGTGAGTCAAGCAGAGGAGTGGCCACTCTACAGGAGGGTCAATGTGAGTAAGACGCAAAGGAAACACATTCCTCCTGGTAAAGTGGAAGGTGTAGAGCAGTCAGAATACGAGGCTGGTATCTGAGTCTGGGCTGCTACGACAGAAAACCATAGACTGGGTAGCTTATAAACAGCACATTTATTTCTCAGTTCCAGGGGTTAAGAAGCCCAAGATCAAGATGCTGGTAGATTCAGTGTCTGGTGACAGTCTAATTCCTAGTTCATAGACCACCTTCTCTTCCCTGTGTCCTCACATGGTGGCAGGGGCAAGGGAGCCCCTGGGTCTCTTTCATAAAGGCACCAAATCCCATTCATGAGGGTTTCACACTTATGACCTAGTCACATCCCAGAGGCTCCACCTCCTGATATCATTACATTGGGGACTGGGTTTCAACATAAATTTTGGAGAGATGCAAACATTCAGTCTGTAGCAGCTGGAAATGGTTGGACCGGGGTAAGGTGGGATCTGAGGCTGTGGCGACGTGGTTGGAAGCTGATCTTACGAAGAGTGGGAGCCTTTGAAGATTTTTGAGCAGATGAATAAGTGATCTGAAGAAGGTGATAGTTTAAGAAGATTGAAGGCAATGATGGTTCTGGAGAGTTCTGTGCCCCTGAGGATCAGAACTATTTCCCTGCTTTAAATTACACATCCACAGAGTGGTTTGGAAACCAGAAAAATTGTCCACTAGCTCAAGGGATAGAGTGTAAGCTAGGTTGATTGCTATGGTTAGAAGATCAGAAATTACCCAGAATTTAACAGGTTTGGAACAGAGTTCGAGAGTGAGGAGAAGGCTAAAAGAACAGGATTCGAAAGTGAACAATGCCTATGTTTTATCATTGCAAGAAAATAATTCCATTGGCAAGGAGAGAAATCCAGGAGAATATTAATTGGGAAGAAAGAGCTTTATACCTATTGGCTTTGAGATAGACACATCCAACTCAGGAATGTAGAACTAGAGTCTGTGGGAGAGATTAGGATCCTAGATAAAGATTAGCATCTGTCTTCTGGATAGACGGACTCCAGCTGTGTGGATAAGTACGTGTAACTGAGAGAGAAGAGACTTCAGTGCCTCCTTCCTGAAAGGAGTGAGAACAGAGAATGGAGAGTTCAGTTCTGATTTTTTGAGAGGCTTCAGGATGTACTTTTTAGCTGGTAAATTAGTGTCCCAAAGTTTGAAATAAAAATAACTTGGTAAGATGTTTAGAGATACTCAGTGAAAACTGATCTGAGTGTTCAGTAATCCTTAATTGAGCATTTCCATCTGTAGACATAGTTTGGCTTTTTGAAAGTCCTTTCCATGTAGTTTTGCTTTCTATTTTTAAAGTTTAAAATATTATTTAATTATTATATTTAAACAAAATATTCTTTCCCTCAGTGTCAAGTTTCTACACTGTTTCAGATTCCAATGTGAAACTAAAAGTTGAACTAAGTGTGGCAGAAAGCGTGGTGTGTAGGAATAATTTTACACAGACAAAAGCCTGGGAGTATGGTTCATTTCTGCCCTGTTCTTAGTGCTGCATTTTTAATCTTATCACAGATGTGGTTTTGTCTTTATTATCTGATGTTTCCCTCCACCTCCAGGTGCCCAGATGACTATTATGAGCCAAGCTTGTGCAGAAAGGTGTAACATAATGAGGCTGGTGGACCGTCGGTGGGCAGGAATTGCCAAAGGAGTGGGCACCCAGAAGATTATTGGAAGGGTACATCTAGGTGAGTGAAAGGCACTGGGAGCCTTTGTAGGGCAGTGGACTTTAAAAAAAATTCTCTTGGATAGGGACATCTGATCCGGCACGCCTAAGCTCTAGAAATTTTAAATCCTGTATTAGCGTTATACATGCAACTTGGTTCAACTGGTTATAAAAAAAACACCAATCTACTGTGTGCTTTTATTTCCTGCTCTTCAGAGATAATTTCCTCCTCTTACTATTTGAGCTGATTTCTTTTGATACTTACCTCCATATTTCTAAATAATACGCTTTTAATGCTATTTACTTACATGACTACGTAAATACTGTTGAGAGCTGAGCCATCCAATTGAAAAAGATTGCTTTTCCTTTCATGTCTAGTTTTTTTTTTTTTTTCAGAATTAGTGATTGTCTGTTTTTTTGTTGTTTTTGTTTTTTGTTTTTTTGGTTATTCGGTTTTTTACATTACTCATTCCTAGACACTTACCTCGTTGTGTAAATGTGCTTTATACATGTTTTCCTATTGAAGATGCTTCTTGCAGAGCCTGGGCTGGTGGTTCGAGGTTGCTTTGTAGCAGCTATTTCGAAGTCTCCCTTGACAGGGCCCTGAGGGGTACCTTTCCCTTGTGTCTTGTGTCAGGTTGTGAAACCCACGCTTTTTCCCTTTTCTCTTCAGTTTATTAGTGTCCATCTTCCAGTGACTTCCTGAGTTTGTGCACAGGAGTAAATCGAGTCCTTCAGTATCAGAACGTGTATTTGTTCCTCCGTCCTACCAGGCTGGCTAGGTCGGAAGTCACTTTCCTTCCTGGTCTTTGTCGGTGTTGCTGTGGAGTGGCTGGCTGCTGTTCTGACTCTTGATCCTCTGTGTGTAAGATCTCTCTTCCTTTTTTGAAGCAGGTAGCATCTTCTCCTTGATCTCAGTGTTTTGAGATTTCACAACGATGCCCTTGGGTGTAGATCTCTTTTTGTCTACTGTGCTGGGTGCCTTTCAATCTGGAAAAATGATGCTGATAATGACTTGCTCCCCTCGGGGAGTCGGTAATTCAGGTAGGAGAAACTAATGTCATGGACTTGTCCTCTCGTTTTCTTTTTTCCTTTCATCATGTTTTGGGAGATTTTTAGTGAAATTTCCTCAGACTTTGCCTTCCAGCCTTCCTGTTCTGTTTGGTATAGCTTTTCTTTCATGTTAGATGGTCTTCGCAGATGTCTGGTGATCCTTGGCATCTGCTCATATTGAAGAACGGGACACCAGAAGGCTGTTTGCAAGGTTGGTTGGGTGGGCAGCCGTGGTGATTGTGGGTGATCTGGGAGCTGGGTTGGAGAAGAAGGCTAGAGTCCACTTAGCCGCCTGGCCTTCAGTTCGGTGATGGTGGTTGTGTCCCAGTCTTCCTCCATGCCCACCTCTATTATGACAGCCTCAGTTTCACCCTCTTGAGAAAATAAGCCTCCAGTCTGCTGTTGGGGTGGAAGCGAGTAGTCAGCTGGCTGAGCAGAGTGCAGGAGAGGAGCCCAAGGTGTAACTGTGCCTGCACAGACCTTCAGCCAGTGCGCCAGCCTCTTGGGAGTTCCGTGATCTTTTCCTTGCTGTCATCTGCTTTCTGGTCCCAAAATTGTGTTTCAGTTGTCTCGTCCATATTTTTGGCTTTAGTGATTTGTACCTTTGAAAAAAAATTAAAACTCATTGTGGTGTTTTTAGGAGTGAATGGAAATAAATACATGTGTTCAGTCCTTTCTCTTTAATCAAAATTCTTTTCTTTCTGCTTTTTTCTTTTATTATCCATTTAATAGATGCTCACTGTAGAGAATTTCAGAAGTACAGAAATGTGAAAAGCGAAAATACCTTAAATTCTTTTAGGTGAGAATCAATCCATAGTAGCATTTGGACAGATCTCTTTGTGGCATTTTTTTCCTTGTGAAAGGGGATCATATATGGAATTTTATACTTTGCTTTAAGAAAAAGTGACACGTTTTCCAAATGTCAGTTTAAATTTCACAAGCATTATTAAATAAATGTATAACATTCTATTGTATGGGTTTAATGGTCAGCTTTTGGGATATGTTTTTTCTCCCAATATTTTGTCATTGTAAGATGGCAGTGGGTTTTTGTGTAGTTTTGTACACACTTTGATTTTTTTCCTTAGTTAAGATTCCTATAAGTGAAACTACTAAATCAAAGATTACGAATATTCTTTAAGGGTCTAGATAGTTACCTGCTGCCAGTCTGGTTTCTCCAGCACTGACTGAATATTCATCCTAGTGTCCTTATGGAATCAAGTATTATTAGTTTTATCCCTTTGATTTGCAGATAAAGAAGTTAGTTTCTTATTATAAGTTACTTTTCTTTCATTGCAAGTTGTACCTTTTCTACCCATTTTCCTCTTCATGTTTCTTTCTTTCATTCTTTTTTTTAACACATTTATCAATTTATTAGAATCTCCGTGTTTCCTAGTATTTATTTGTATAGAATAAGGATGGTTTAAATACCTTACTCTTAAATACGTTCCTATACACAGTAAGAGTGAAATTGGGTAGGAATACCACAAACAGGTTGCTTCAGAGTCTGAGTTCTTAGATTTTTCATGGTTTTAAGTGAGAAGGTAATAGGAAGAGACAGTGAGTACCATTCCCTCGTGTCCTTCTTGTGGTTGGGCAAGTGGTACCATTTGCAACTTCAGCTATGATCGATATCAAGAAAAGCTTATAACAATAAGGGAAATGTAAGTAAAGGAGAGCTACACCATGGACAGCAAGTCTCAGTATGTTGAAGGTGGTGACTCTCCCACATTCATCAGGAGTATCATTGTAATATATTCCAAATCCCAATAAGTTTTGTTTTGTGAGACTTGATGTGTTAATTTTAAATTTTATGTGAACCCTTTATTGCAGGAGTAATCAAGATACTCTGGAATAACTTTCCTTTTTAGATATCAAGGCCAGAAGATTAGAGCAGAAACAGACCCATGCTTACATGAACCTTGATAAATACGAGAGGAAATCTTACAGAGCAGTGCGACAGTTTCAGGAAATGTGCTAGACAGTTGAGTATCATGTAGAAAAAATGAATTGGAAATTGGACCCTATCTCACGTCACATATAAAAATACATGATCAATTTGAGGTTGATTAAAGACCAGGTGTCCAAGGCAAAGTCAAAGCTTTTAGAAGAAAATATAGGAGAATATCTTACAGAGGAAGGGGATTCTGTAAAAGATAAGAAAGAAATTATTTGATAAATTGAATCACATTAAGAACAAGAACGTTTCATCAAATACATCTGAAAGTGAATACAAACTAAGTAACATATAACTAATAAAGGATTTATATTCAGAAAATACACATATTCTGTGGGTTTGTGTATCCTCCAATTCAGTAAGAAAGACTGACACATAAAAAATAGCAGAAACATTTGAACAAGTACTTTAAGGAGAAACCCAAATGGTTAATAAGTATGAAAAATTGCTTTATCTCATTAAGCAGGAAAATAGAGGATTACTTGCCAGATTTTAGTAATATTGAGTGTTGAGAGAATGTAAAGCAATGGAAACTTTCAAAAACCACTGGAAACATTTTGGAAAATAATTAAACATCAAGCAAAGTTGAGCCTAATATACCCTAGAACCCTCTGTGTCTTTCAAGTATACCTTAGAGAAACTCATGGCACGCCGGGAGACAAGTGCAAGAATATTTAGGGTAGCATTGCCTGTGACAGCAGAAACTGGAAGCAACCCAAGCAGTCCAGTAGCAGAATGGATAAACCAGTGATGGCACATTAGACATTACAGTACTTTAAGGGCTGGTACAAGTGAAAGAAATCCAGTCACATGCAGCCACAGGAATAAAATATCTCAATATCCTTTGAGTAAAAGAAGCAAGTCATAGTTCAAAAACAACTAACCAATATGTTGCTTAGAAATCATACAAAAGTTGTAAGAACTGTAAGAAAAGCTGGGAATGATAAACACAAAAAAACCGGGATAGTCGGGAGGGTTGGAAGAGGCAAAGAATAAACTCTGTCAGTAGGATATATTGGAGACTCCTTAGTTTTCTGTTTCTTAACCTGGGAAATAGAGGCTTGGGTATTTGTGTTATTATGCTTTATACTGTATGTGTATTTCATACACATTTCTGCATGTAAGATACAGTTAATAACACAGTAACTTTTTTAGCAGATAAAATTAAGAAGGTAAGAGGAGTAATTGAGGAAAGAGGCAAGGCAAACACCAGCTTTGGTGTTGTCTCTGATTTGATAAATAGAAACTTGATTATACCAGCAATAATAAACAGTTTACTTCTTGGAAAAGGTGTACAGATTTTATTTTCCTTTTAGAAAACCTTTTGTAAGTGCATAGGAAGCAGGTGGTTAATATTAAAGGAATTGGTCTTTTTCTTTTCTTTCTTTCTTAATGCTGAATGCCAGCTTTCCTCACCAGCTGAGCGTGTATCCTAATGGTATCACATATCAACAGGTCTTCTAGGTAGTAGTTCTGCCCAGTCCACTTTACGAGCTTCATTGGTTTTTAACCTGATAATGACTTTGTCTTTTAAGGTCTTACTAGATTTTCATACTTAACTTGCTTATGTACATGCTTTGCCGTGGCTTTGACTGGTTGCAGGAAGAAAGGCACAGAATGATAGATCCAATCTTCCCTCTTCCTTTCTTCATGTGCTTTATTTTAGCTCAGGTTCAGATTGAAGGAGACTTCCTGGCGTGTTCCTTCTCTATACTTGAGGAACAGCCCATGGACATGCTTCTGGGGCTGGACATGCTGAAACGACATCAGGTAATTAAGAGCTTCACTTTCTCTTTGCATTGGCTTTTTGTATGGTATATGGTTATTACTGCATCATTTCTCTTGGTTGTATATCCTGAAAAACTAAGAGGCATGACTTCAGACCTGGAAAAGTCCATAAATGATGATGATGTCATACAAGGTTTGAAATTATGTATCAGTAGAAATAGGATCTGTTTTTGTGAAATCTTTCTGAATCTGTTGAATCTTGCCATCTGTTTTGAGTCTATAATGGACAGTTTAGCTCCTTTGTGTAATTTTTAGTTTCGGTTAGAACTCAAGTAATTTCTTGGTGGGTTTATAGGAAAGTGTACATAATACACAATGATGATTTTACTGCAAGTATAAGTTTAGTAAATCCTTAGTAACTGGTCAAACAATACTTGGGAAGAAGAGCTTGAGGATTAAGGAAAAAGGTATACAGAAGATGTTTGGAATGAAAATGTTTATTTAGTACAGAGAGAATGATTTGTAAATTTGTTCATTTGCAGTGGTTTTTTATATTCTACTCTGAAGCCTAATATTTGTTTAAAGATAAATTTCTCTTGTTGAAGAAGCGATTAGTGTGCTCTTGGGTAGTAAAAATTTTCATAAGAAGGTTTCCTATCTAGTCAATATTTTTAGATTATGTATTTATTTATTTATTTAGGGGAGGTAATTAGGGTTTTATTTATTTTTAATGGTGGTGCTGGGAATTGAACCCAGGACCTTGTGCATGCTAGGCATGCACTCTACCACTGAGCTATACCCTCCCCCCTTCTAGTCAATATTTTTGTGTCACTAATACTCCTTTTTAAATGTTTAATATTAAATTCCCATTAAAAGTATATTGCATTGATACTGTAATCAAGGTATAGAATTTTAAGTAGAAGGAATGAGTGAATGCATATATAAATAAAACCCTATAAAACCTAACTTATTGTTGCTATCTTTCCGTTTTTTGTTTTGTTTTGTTTTGAGTGGAGGTAATTAGGTTTGTTTGTTTTTAAAGGAAGTACTGGGGGTTGAGCCCAGGCCCTTGTGCATGCTAAGCATGTGCTGTAGCACTTGAGCTATACCATCCCCCTATATTTCCCTATTTTTAAATCATAATATAGACCAGCAGTCTCCAACTTTATAGGTATAAAACATACAGTGTAACTGTCCTATATTATTAAGTAATTATAAAAATATACTGAAAAGCAGAGTAACGTAAGTATGAAATACAAAATACCTTTGTAGAGCTTGCCTTGTTCGTATATCACTTTTCAGCCCATTGGTCTAGAGTTTAAATATAAGCTGGACTTTATACACTAAGCAAAAAAAGCAAAAATGTGGAACTGCATAAATGGTATGTCTCAGTTTTATTTTTTTTAAAGTCACTTATATGTTTCTAAAAGGTGTGGCTGCTGATTATGCCTGGCGGTTTTCCAAATTTAAGTTCAGAAATGAACGGTTAAACTATGTCCCATAAAGATTATTCTGCTATAAAATTTAAATATTAAAAAGATTCTAAATTAACAGACAGTGTCACCTAGGTTAAAGTTTTAATACTTTTGAGTAAAATCAGTTTTTTTAGCCATCTCTGTCAATGTTGCTCTTTGTAAATGGAGTTTTAAATTCAAGATCATAATTTTTGTGTCCTGTTTTATCTACTATCATCAGTCTTTGTTTTTTTTCCTTCTAAGTGTTCCATTGACCTCAAGAAAAATGTCCTCGTGATTGGCACCACAGGCTCACAGACCACCTTCCTTCCCGAGGGAGAGTTACCAGAGTGTGCCCGATTGGCTTATGGGGCCGGGCGAGAGGAAGTACGGCCAGAGGAGATTGCAGACCAAGAATTAGCAGAAGCCCTTCAAAAATCTGTAGAGGATGCAGGTATTTGGAATGGCCAAGCTCTTGTTATCGGTGGGTGTGCCAGGGGAGTTCGAGCTACAGCGGGGACAGGAACCTTTCCAGTTCACAGTCAGTCTCATTGTCCTGTTGTGGGTGTGTTCCTTGTCTTCTTACCACCTCCTCCCGTCTCTAAATACCGTAAAGAAAAACTCCATGTTTCATTAGATCAAGAAACAGCAGTCTGTTGCTGTGTGCAAGGTAGATTGGGGAGTTATTTGCTTAGGCACATTTTGGTGGGCTTCCTAAAAAAATCTTGTGCTTTTTTTCCTGAAGAAATTTGTAACAGTTAAGCAGGCACTTTTGAGTTCAACATTTCCTGGAAATTTTCTTGTGCTTTGCTTAGGCCCATTTATTTTGAAGGTCAGCATTGTCACTGTGACTAAGCAGCCTCACCTTTTCACTGTCTACTGAAAGTGCTGCCATGAAAGACAGAAGAACCAACAGTAAGAGGCATAATTGAACATTAATCAAACTGAAGTGTTTGTGCTGTTAATGAAATCACAGTTGTGTGTCATTGGGCCCAATCAGAACAGTATATAAACTAGGGAAATGAAGCCACCTAATACTTTTTTTCCTGAAGTCTCAGTTGTTGTAACCTCTGTAGTTCTAAAGATCAAGCCGAGTTTTCTGGGTAAAATGGAAGGACACTGTTAGGCTGAAATCCCGCTTCCATGGATAATTTTTTCCCATCGTTACAGAACAGTGACTCGGATGCGTTTTCTAGAAGCTGAAGAAAATTAACTTTTGAGTTATGGTTATTTTTAAATCTTGTGCTATAGTTACTCATTAGTGACTAATATCACACATTGCATTTGCTGATGTAGTAAAATGTATTAGAGCTACAAATTCAGGGAATAGCTTTCACCTAAGGACAAAACAGATAAGAGCTTTAAAAATAAGCAGCCAGATTTTGCCAGCGTTTATCACCAGGGAACACCCAGTGGTCTAAGCGTTGAGACTTTAGAATAGGCATGGGTAGCAGATGGAGTTTCCAGGCTGGCCTTGCTCAGAATCTACTCCACCACCACATTTTGGCTCAGTTTTGCATATAAAGTACAGTTTAGGTTGTGACTTCAGTATTTTGTAGGGAGGGAAGATTGTTAAACAACCAGACAGAGAGACCGAATTAATAGTTTTAACCTTGCCTGTAAAACAAGTATGAATGACTTTGACATACCTGCATAGAAGGTTTTACTTTTTTTTTAAGTAACTGTCAGCTTAGTCATATTATGTATTAATAAAACAAGGATGTGTTACCATTTTGTGAAACCTATCCCCCCCCCACAGTTTTGGTGCTTTTATTTGAGAAGCACTAGCTGATGATAGCAGTGCTTTATAACCTACTAACAGTTACTCTCTTTGAGTAATTACTTTCTTTTAATAAAAAGTTTAGGAGATTAAAATGGAAACTACAGATGTTTTCAGCCATAGGAGGAGGGGTCTACCAGTTTTAAAGGCTTAGAAGAAAATGGCTCTTTACCCATGTGACCTTTGGTTACTGACAGTGTGTGGCTTGTGCTAATTTTTGTAATGTTTAAATAGTGAAGTAATTCATCAGCATCACGTTCCATTTGCTTGAAACATCGACTTCTGAGTATTATCAAAATCAAACCTCTAGACATAGGTGAAAGTATTTTTACTAAAAGCTGTTCCTTGGAGGGTGAGTATAGCTCAGTAGTAGAGAACGTGCCGAACACGCATGAGGTCCTGGGTTCAGTCTGCAGCACTTCCATTTAAAAAATAAACCTCATTACCACCCCCACCCCCAAAAAATGTTTAAAAAGAAAAAACTGTTTCCTTGGTGGGTACTTTATACTAGAATATCTTTATCTTTTCTATCGATTACAAAAATAATTCAGAGTAGGGAGCTGTTTTCTAAACACTAATTAAAAAAAATAAGTTAAGCCAGGTTAGATAATCGGGTTTGGTTTGTTTTTCTTCGAAAAATAAATCTCAGCTAAGAAAGAATTTGGAAAGTGGCTGTTACATGTGTTCGCTCACCTTTACTCCATAAGATTTCCGTGTCACGTAATTCCATCTATGGATCTACTTGTTTTCACCTGTCTCACGTGTTTGCCCATGAATTCTCTGTGTAGGTAGTAAAATTAATTTCTTTCCAAGTTCTGTTGAAAATCTGTTGAAGTTGACACATTGCTTTATGTACTGTGAGAGAATTAAAGCAACCAACAAATCTTCTGGATGTCCAAACTGCAGAAACATTCCCTTACTTTGACTCTACTGGTTCCTGATTTTAAAGATGGCAATGGAATGGAGACTATAACCCTGCATGCTGTGTGGTTTGCATTGTTAACCCAAGTTTGCTTGTCTGTTTCCTAATTCAAACAGAGCGTCAGAAGCCATGATGCATGTAGTGTGTGTGTACTGCAGCTGGAGTGGGCCCCAGACCAGGTATTTATAGACACCACATTAAGCCTTCCACCCAGTTGTCATCTGTAGTCTGAAAGTCTCTGTATCTGCAGCAATTCTGGAATTTAGCTTCTGTCATTCACCGTTTCATCTTGTTTAATCTGGTTACAACTAGCCTGTATATACATTTGTGTGTTTAATCTGGTTACAACTAGCCTGTATATACATTTGTATGTTGGCATACATACATATCTAAGCATGATTTCCTATTTAAAATTTTATCAGTCATTAGAAAGATTCCAGTGAAGACAAGTGTCCTCCTGACCATTGTGAATATCAGATCAAGAATATCAGCATCACGGCACTTTGTTGTCAGAGGAGACTGCGTTGTTAGGGATTTTTATGTGTCTTTTTCTTCTGAATAACTGGAAGTGTATTTTTCACATTACTGCACATAGCTACCAGCTTTATAGAGGGACTGAACTTATCATTTTATTGAAGAAGAAATGGAAACTTAGGCCAGGTGACTTGCCCAGGGTCACGGAGTCAGTAACACAGGCAGGATGAAGTTTAATCTGTCAATGAGAGTTGAGACCCTGCTTTTCCCTCTCTCCACAGGAGGCGCTCTGCTTCCCTTTCCCTGAAGTGTATAATAAATGTAGCCTGAGTGTACTGGCTGATTTATGAAAAAGGGGAGAGGCAGTCTTTTTAAACTATCAACCTAGGGTTTTATAGGAGTTTGCAGGCTGGTTGTAATTAGATATGTAATATTTAAGTTCTTCTTTCATTTTCCTTGTAAGGATGGGTTAAAAACAGGCATATTTAATTATTAATGTCCGATGTCCTCATCCTCTTCTCCTATCCTGTAGTACTGACCCAGTCCTCCCCTACATGTAGGACTTAGGCCAGTGAAATTGACCATCTCAGCTACAGGAGGACTATATGCTGCTTTCATAGTGAGTACGGAATACATTGAGGTCGTGTTCACCTTCACCTCACCCAGTTGTTAACTGGCGTACTCTTGCCAGAAGGCCATTATCATCCCCCACCTCTATGCTGCTAACGTGGATTTTTCACTACAGTGCATCGTTCTGTTCTCATTAACTCAAAGTTGAACCTCTTTCAGAGTCAGCCTTAGAGACTGATAAATAAAACTAGTAACTGTGTTTCTAGACTCTAATGGATATAGTTGCACTGAGATACATGCTATTTTCTTGTTTACTCCTAAACTATAAATAAGATTGTTTTCACACGAAGTCAGTCACTTCCTGACATAGTACTTTATCTTTTCATATTGTTAACCTGTGTTGGATTAGAGTGGTTTAGAGCCTTTTGAATCATAACTGCTTTCATTGCTTTATGGCTTCTTAAGGTGCAATCAGCATGAAGCATTTGAGTCTCAACTGCCCTAATAGATTGTATTGCGATGTCATTTTGTTACCAGCCTTTGATTGTTAAAGATCTTGTAATAATTGCATAAAGGTCAGTTTTTAAACTGGATCAGTGCAAAAGGAGAGTTGGATCTGATGTTCAATGACATCATGATGTTTACATCGAGGTGTTTAAGCTTTCCATCTTTTGTGAGTGATCAGTAAGTTGCAGTGGCTTTTCTAAATTGTCATTGCCTTTGAAAAACTTAAGAACTGTCTCCCTCCACTGCCCACCCCTCCCCACCATTTCCCTGCCCTTAAAGTACTTAAATGTTCTGGCTTAGTTGTACTATGTTAATGTGATAAAGTAACTGATATCCTTTTTAAAGTTGCATTATTTGGTAAGATAATAATTGAGATTTAATCTGTTTAATCTTTAGCCTTATTTTTGTTCTGAGTCAAGCTCACATGGTTTTTGGGATGTTTGGATAGAAATAAATAGAACGTTTTCTTCTGTGTCTTCCGGAGGTCCCTGAGTATCACATTCTTAGTTCTCTTTATAATTCCCACTCTGTCTTGGCTTTAGATTTCTCAGTGTTTACATCTGACACACTAAAAGTGAATTGGCATGAGAATTGTTCCAATGCAGAAATCCTCAAGATTTGTATTGTGCTTTTAAGAATCACCTGAGGAACTTACTGAAAATGCAGATTCCTAGGTTTACTCCCAAGGACCATGCCCCAGAATCTGCATGCTTAGCAAACATCCCAGGTGATTTTAGAGGAAGGGTAGAGATAACACACTTTGAGAAACCATGCTGGAGTTCTGAACTCACTGAGAATAAAGACACGTAAATGTCCTTCAGTCTTAAGCCACTAACACAGCCATTTTATGTAGTACTTAAATAAAAATATTGAATTACAATACACACATTTTATTAAGAACCTACCTATCTTATATTCTGATGCTATGATGTTAAATTGTTCACCACAATGAGAGTGGCTCTTGTATAAAGTCTATGAATATAAGGGTTAAAGATCTGATTTGTTTTATCCTATTTAGATTTGTAGTCTTTGATAATTTAGTGGCCTTTGTAACCTGCTGATCAATCTTTTTTCCTTTCTCTATTGTTCTATATAGAGAAAAGCGGTAAAGAAACTACCTCACTGGGGATGTCATCATTACCAACTTCAGATGGATTTAACCATCAAGCCCATCCTTCAGGACAGAGTCCTGAGATTGGTAATCCTACAGGTCTTGCTCACCCTGTCTCTACTTCAGTCTGCCCAATCAAGCCCAGTGACCCAGACGGCATCAACCTAAAGCTATGAAGGCTTTGAAGGCTTCAGCTGAATTCCAGATAACCTCTGAAAAACAAGAACACCTTCCTCTGCAGGATCTTTCTGAGCGTGCTTCTTCAGCAGACAGCGCTCTAGCAAACCAGAGTCCAGCCATGCCTTTGCAGAGTTCACTTGAAGAAGCCATTGTTGCAGATAATCTGGAGAAATCTCCTGCTGAAAGAAGCACCCAAGGCCTCGAATCTCATCTCCACACAAGACAGGAAGCTAGTTTAACCAGGATGCGAGAATCACAGAGGCTTATAGGTAGAAAGGATCCAGGATATCGGGACCTGAGTCGAGAGAGTGGCCTTCAGCAGCACGAAGAACCAAGAAATGAACAGCATGGGGTTATACAACAGAATGTTCCACAGGCCCGAGAACATCTTTGTAACACAGGGAACCTTGAACGTCTTGGAGAAAGGCAACAGAATCAACAAAAAAGTGTTGGTTTGGAATCTACAATGAAAGGAGACCAGATGCCGCAGAATGTGGACCTTCCGGGTACAGAGAAAAATATTCTACCTTCAGGATGCTTTGGCTGCTCAAATTCAGAAACACTTATGGAAGTAGATATAGTTGAACAGTCCCTAGTTGCTGTGCTTAATTCAGCAGGCAGTCAGAATCCCGATGTGAGGAACATTGGTGCATCTGATCTCACCTTAGATAATCCCTTGATGGAAGTAGAAACATCAAAGTGTAACCCTTCCTCTGAAATTTTGAGTAATTCCATTTCCACTCAGGTTTTACAGCTCCCAGAAAGTAATGTTGAAATGTCTGGAAAAATGAAAGACTATGAGAATTGCCCCTCCTCTTTAAGTCTCTGTGGCAGTTGTCAGCCCTCTGTAGAGTCAACAGAGGAATCTTGCTCATCTATAACGGCAGCCTTGAAGGAACTTCATGAACTTTTGGTCATTAGTAGTAAACCAGCTTCAGAAAATACATCTGAAGAAGTTACCTGTCAATCAGAGACAGTAACTGAGAGCCAAATGGGTATTAAGGACGTTTCTGAAAGATGGACCCAAAATGAGCATCTTACAGCTACCCAGGATGAACAGTGTTCACAAGTCTCCTATCATCAGGCCATTTCGGTATCAGTGAAGACCGAAGAATTAACAGACACTTCAACTGATGCTGGAATAGAAGATGTGGAAAATATTAACCTCAGGGGTCCCAGTGATGGCCTGTTAATTGATAAAGAAGGTGTCCCAAAGTCTAGGGAATCAATAAGTGAGAACAGTTCTGTCACTCTAGCCTCAGCTAAAACGTCTAATCAACTACCCTGCACCTTAGGCGTAGAAATTTCACCCAGACCTTTAGCAGGTGAGGAGGATGCACTCAGTAAGACTTCTGAGCAGACTGAGTCCTTGTCATCCAGTTTCATATTGGTTAAAGATTTGGGTCAGGGCACACAGAATCCAGTGACAGACAGACCTGAGATAAGAGAAAATGTCTGTCCTGAAGCTGCAGGGCCACTTCTAGAATTTGAACCACCTACCAGCCATCCATCATCAAGTCCCTCCTTTCTTGCACCATTAATTTTTCCTGCTGCAGACATTGACCGGATTCTCCGTGCCGGCTTTACTTTGCAGGAAGCTCTTGGGGCTTTGCATCGAGTTGGTGGAAATGCAGACCTTGCACTTCTTGTTTTGCTAGCAAAGAACATTGTAGTTCCTACATAACCATGGAAAATGGTCTAGACCATACTCCATTCCCTTTAAAAAAAAAAAAAGCTATATATATATACACATGCACACATGCACACTCACCACATATACAGTATATGTAGAAACCTGCAAGCAGAATGTTGAGCCAGATTTTTTTTAAGGATTTTTTTCAAAGATTTTTTTCGGCCAAAGTAATTTATGATCTCTTGTCTGATGAATTTGTCTATTCTATTTGTTAAAATTTGGGCCTTTTTTAAATGTATTGGCAGTATGTGCATACAGAAGCTTTTTATTATCATTAAGATGATGTATTCTGGAATAAAATGGATGGCTTGTGTATAGCATACCATTTTAGAATGAGAGTAAATGCTTTAAGAAGCAGAAGCCATGAGAAATGGCTGACCACCCATGCAGCTAAGAGCAGATCAACTTCATATTTTGGCTGTGTCTGTGCTATAGGCAAGATACAGTTTGTTGACTTAATTTTCGGTTTACAAATTTGATCACATGGTTTGGTGTTTGGAATTATACTTAGTGCTCTGTGTATTATGATTCCTCAGCTGTAACAGAAAATTGAAGAATATCTCCTAGAGTGGTATGTTTTTATTCGTGTGGTTAGGATTTGACATTTTAATGGAATGAGTTGGGAGGTTTTAAAACTTGGGCTGCTTTGTGCATCACAGGCTGCTGCATGGATTGCCAAGTATCTTGGGTGGGATATTGTGAGGGAATTAACATTAGAGTGAAACATGGTGCTACCCAGATAAAAAAAGAAAGAAAAAGCTGTAATTTCATTTGCAAATGTCCTGGTGATGTTTCAAGAACTGTGAGTGAAAAATAATGGCCTCAACACTGGAATTTACTAGAGATTGGGTTTGGTAGATCACATCTCACTGATCACATCTCAACCCTCAATGACGAGTAATGAACTTATGTTCAGCTAATGGGTTGATTGCCAACAGTTTATTTCCTTTCTAAAGTCATCGTCTAGGAAGTTCTTCTGAAGCTCAGTTTGAGATGTGATCTGAGTGAAAGATTCAAGTGTGATAACCTTGTCACTGGTTCATCTTGGTGCTTGGAATGATCAGTGTATTTGGTGAGTGTCTTTCGTGGCAGTGGAAATAGTCGTTGGAGTCTCTGATTCAAGTGGCCTTGGTAGAGTTTTCCATCCCTTTCTTTCCTCAGGAGTTTCTTTTTTTAAGCAAAATTTGTCATATTTGTGTTTACCATGTTAAGTTAGAGTGGGGCATAGTACATAGATGTATTTATTGTGGCCTTTTTTTATATGAGGACTAGCCCTTGGAAATCATGGTCCTGTGGGCCCCACTGTGCAATAATTCTACTGGATAGATTTTAGATACTTTCTTTCCTGGAAAATAAACTCTTTTATGTACCGAGCAGGAATCTGAAATCTTGGTTTTATTGAAAAGAATTTTGAGAATGATAATTCCCGATTTCAGGTTAGAGTTTTCAATGTGTTTGAAACAGAAGATTCAGAAGGGTGATTTGTGAACTTTTAACGTTAAGTGATTTTGTCTAAAGTCTTAATTCTCTTTGAAAGCTTATTCTTTCTGTCAAAATTTACGTCATTGAGCACAATCAAAATGGAGGCTCATATCTCAGGAGTTTTTGAAATTTTAATTTAGGGGCACTTAGACATTTCTCTTCTACCCTATCTCATCTTTCGTTTTTGCTGTGATGTTTGAATGTGTGTTGGGAGACTTGAGTGATATGATGGAAAGTCGCGTAGATTCATCATGATCCTCTGAAGTTAAGCGATGGTTGACGGAGAGTTGTAGTTTACTGTTTTCAGGAGGGCACTCAGAACAACAGGTTAGCCAGGTTGTCTTTAAAGTGTTCTTTTAGACAATCATGTGCTGTAGATCCTTTTGCCTGCCCTACACCAAAGATGTAAGATGCACTAGGAAACTGCTTATAGGATTTCTGTCAACTGACTTAGAGCTGTGACTGTAATTAAATAGTGGTGCTATGATTGAAGCAAAATTTAGTAGCAATGCAATGGGCCCCTGTATTTGCTTTATGGGTATGATTGGGAATTTATTCTAAGCTTATAAACCTTTAGGGTCACAAAGTGGGGTGGGTGTGAGGTGGGGGAGCTTATCAATGACAACAGACTCTTCCAGAAAGGCCTTCTTTATGAAGGTGGGCCTCATAGTTTTCTGTATGAGCAGTTTCTCTGGACACTGCTCAGAGGTGTAGCCACTAAATTTTCATAGTGTGGAGATTTGGGAGTCAGTCCCAAGTGGGATATATCAGTCTGGAAAAGATTTCATTACAGTAGCTTTTATTGTATGTATATGTATATTTATTTCTAGGGGAAAATGGGATGGGCCTATAGTTGTACACGTATTCTTATTAGGAATACTTTGAGCTTAACCCACTTGCCAAATACCCTTGTCCTTTTTCATCATTGGTCTTTCAGCTTATAATTGCTTTTGATTTTTAAAATCTTACTCCTGTCCATCATTTGTATGAAAGTAAACTTGTTGACATTGTCAGGATTTTGAATCATTTTTAAGTTTAGCAGCTCTAAAACACAAAAGGAGTTAAGGAATATGACATTAGTGAACATTCATTGTCGATTTTTATCCAAAGTGCAGAAATTAGAGGTTAACTTTTCCAAGAACGAGATAAAATCATTGTGAACTCCTCTGGTTACCAGCAGTGACCAGCAGTGGGCTGCTTTACTGGATAGCTCCTTTGCCATAACCAGTAATGGACAGCCTTGTGGTCAGCCCTTACCTCCAAGGGTGGTGTCTGTTTATTCACCAAAGAGAGGAGAAGATTTTCCTGTATGACTTCTGCAATTTCCCTCAAGTTGGTTCCTGTACGTAGGAATGTGCTTGGTAACCAGACAGCTGTATCTAGGCTGTAGATTTTGCCCTTGCAGCTGGTGAGAATTATTTCCACTTGTACCTCTTTAGGCCTCCAGACATCAGCCAGTAGCTTTCATCCCACAGTTTGGGCTTTAGCCATTACATGTAAAGATTACCAGTTGCTTGGCAAAGGGAACTAGAGAGATGGTGAGTGTGTGTGAAAACTCTTCTGCCTTGCAGCCTACAAAATTTTTCCAGAACTCCTTGTTTCCACATACACTGAAGGGAGGCACAGACCATATGTTTTTTCCCAAAGCGTTTCTCCAGTAAGAGAGTTACATAAAAATGGAAAGATATCTGAGACTTTGTGGCACTGATTTTATGATAACCCATTAGGGTAGAATCTGCCTGTCCTTCCCTTAGCACAGCTTTCTCTCTCTTGTAAAAGCCATAAAAAATCAGTCAGTTTAACCATCAGCTCATGTGTATATATACATGTGTGACTGATAGATATCCTACAGTTAATTTTATAAA